GCCCGCCCACAGAAGGCTGCGTCCAGCAGCCGCTCTCCCGCCCTCCCGCACGTCCCCTCGCCGTCTACGCCGCTGCCCGCGCTGTCCCGACTCTACTCCCGGCCGGGCTGCCCGGCAGAACCGGGAGTCGCCCTTGACTCTCTCCCATCCCTCACCCCCCGCGGGGCCTCCAGCAAACTTGGTCACGGCCACCCTGCCACCTCTCGCCCCTCTTCCTCGGCTCCTTACTTCCCCGCCTTCCACAGAGTCCTGGGCCCCCCTGTGCCCAGAATCACCCCCTTCCTTGCAGGACCCCGAGGCCCCTCCTGGGTGGAGCTGGCGGCCACTGCCCCCATGCTGGCCTCTCTGCATGGCCACGCTCCCACCTGGGTTCCCAGATGTGCTCCTCCCTGACGGTGCCGAGGGTGGGCCGGGCTGGCTCGTGGCTGTCCTGGCGGTCAGGTGAGTGACCCCAGTTCACGACGGGGCCGGCTGCACCCTGGCAGCACACGCGCAGCTGGAGATCGGTCTCTCGTCCTGCTCTCTCTGCCCAGACTCTTGCAGGCAGCTCTGCTGTGGGCAAAGCCTGAGCTTCCAAGGCTCTGTCGCGGCTGGTCCTTTACCACTTGATCAATTCGCGAGAGGAAAACAAGACGCCTGCTCTGCACCTTTGGAATGGCCCGTGCCCCTGCCCCTCCTGAGCCCCAGACCCGTCTCTCCAGTATCAGTGGCAGTCACTAACTGCGGGTGACATGTAACAAAAACAGCAAAACCATGGCGTGTCCTGTGCTCATGTGGGAGCACACACCTTGTGTGCATGGCTGGCCCCTGGGCCCAACCCTCATCCCTGCAGCGTCACTGCTGAACTGGGTGTGTTCTCTTAGAAAGGATTCTGGGAAACAGAACCTGCCACCCCGAGAGCCACTGCTGTGAGCACACACTGCCAGGCATTGGTCCCTGGGGTCCCTCCTTATCCTGATCTGTGTTTCTTGAATCTCCGTGCTGGTCTTTCTGGGTACTGGCTCCCCCTGTGTGTACCACCTGCTGCAGAATTAAAGCCCTTCCTAGGACTGGTCCTGGTCAGTTCCCTCTGTTGATGAAGTTGGGCTGACTTCGTGTGATCTGTTGCAGGAAGCAGAGGGATCCTGCCAGTCGTGCGGCCTGTTTCTCCCCAGTGACACTCACATGTCTTACGACACAGCTTCATCTCCAAACTAAACAAAGCTTAAAAGCTACATTAGATTTGTTTAACTGTTTGAGAATTATGTTAAAACTCATCACTCTTTTTTTTTTTTTTTTTAGTTTGACTTCTTAAATGACAGTTAGAAAAGAGAATGAGCCCAGAGGGACATCCCAACATCCAGGTCACTCAGGGACACGTGACAGTTTTGTGGGGGTCTTGGCTGGCAGCAGGCCACCAGCTACCAGTTATAAGATGCGTTTGTGGTGGCTGCGAAGTCTGAGAACCTTGTCAGGAAGAAGCACTGATTTCTTCTTAATGGTCTCCAACCTCTTTTCCAGGGATACGTCGGGGCAGGGAAGATTCTGTACCATATTCCGCTCCTACTCTCGGGGTGCACAGGTAACGTAGCATGACTTTGAGTATGACATTTACAGTGCTTAGCTAACCATCCTCTCTGATGGATGACTGGGAGATAAGGCAATTAAGCTTATACATAAATTGACGCCAGACTGTAAAACTGTGCTGTAGAGTGTTTGGTGGCTCCCAAGCCTTCTTCAGCACAGGGATGTATGCGTGCGTGTGCATGTGTGCAGGTGTGTGCGCTGTGTGTGCGTGTGCATGCACGTGTGCATGGGCGCTCCGTCTAGGCGGGTGGGCCTCGCTTCCCATGAGGTGGTGATTCCTGCAGTGTCCCCACATTCCGTGTCCTGGAATAGCTCATGGATGTGAGTTCTAGTCCCCAACGGACCTTTGACATTTGAAGGTTTATCAATGAGCTTATGAAATATCATTGAACATGATTGTAGAACTGCTCCAATTGGTAGATAAATCAAAGTTCTGTTCCTGTGTTAGAATAAGTAAAACAGTGATGGTGCCCGTGTGGCCGCCAACCCGTGCCAGCACCTGCATTCTGTGTGCTGAGCCTGTGGCCTCTCCCCAGGGCGTGATCCTGGTCTACGACATCGCAAACCGCTGGTCTTTCGATGGCATTGATCGATGGATCAAGGAGATTGACGAGGTATGAAGTGGTGATGCTGTCACCCGAGTCCCACGTGGGCTGGGGAGGACGTCAGGCCGGGGATTGGGCCAGGCCCCCCGCTGCTCATGGGCACGTCAGCCACAGGGAGGGGGCACCGCCTCACAGCACAGCCTGGAGTGAGCTCGGCCCACGGTGTGACCACAGAGAAGCTCTGATGCCCAGGACCTGGCTCTGCGGGTCAGGTCAGGAAGCACATTGGCTACGCCAGGCACCAGGGTTGGGCCGGCTTCGCTCCTGCTGTGGTCAGGGTGGGTCGACAGGTGGTGACTGGGCTGTGGCTTGCTGGACCCCTGCCCAGCCCAGCTGCCAGTGGGGACATGGAGAGGTCAGTACCAAACCCACTAATGAGTGTCCTGGGGCTGCTGTAAGTAACAACCACAACTGGGTGTCTTAACACAATGGGAATTTATTCTCTCAGTTTGGGAGGCCTGTCCCAAAACCAAGTGTCGGCAGGGCTGTGTCCCCTCCATGGGCTCCAGCTTCTGGAGTGGCCAGCAATCCTCGGCGTTCCCTGGCCTGTGGCCACATCACTCCAACTCTGCGTCTGTCTTCACGCGCCTTCCCCTC